CCCCACCCAAGACCCTCCTCCAACTCCGTTCCTTCCTTGGCCTTGCCAACTATTACCGCCCGTTCATTCGCAGCTTTTCAGAGATCTCTTACCCTCTCCACGAACTCACCCGCAAGGACTAGCCTTTCCATTGGAACGATCGCTGCCAACAAGCTTTCGACTTACTCAAGCAAACCATCACCACGGCCCCTGTCCTCAAGATTGTCGACCCCACTCGCCATTTCTATGTCACCAGTGATGCCTCCGACTTCGCCATCGGAGCCGTACTGTCCCAACATTTCCCCCTCGACACCGCCGAGACCCCCTCCATCAAGGACTCGCCCACTCACCCCGAGGCTCCACCTGGCGAATACCCTATCACCTTTGCAAGCAAGAAGCTTCTTCCCGCGGAGATGAATTACCCCTCCAACGAGAAGGAACTCTTCGCCGTGATTCACGCTCTCACAGTCTGGCGCCCGTACCTCGACGGACAATACTTCACCATCCGCACTGACAACACCATCGTCTCCTCCATCCTCTCGAAGAAAGATATCACTCCACGCCAAGCCCGCTGGCTAGACTTCCTTGCCCAGTTCACATTCACCATTTGCCATACCCCCGGCAAAAACAACCGTGTTGCCGATGCCCTCTTGCGACGACCCGACCAGAAGGACTGAGGAGATACCGGTTATCCCAAGAAAGGGTCAGGAGATTGGAAGCGGCAGAGAGGGCGGACAAGGACCTAAGAGCGGCGAAAGTTAGGATGGGGAAGATCCGAGCGGAGACTGAGCTAGCAACCAAGCTAGATACGCTGATCCAAAGTGTAGAGGCTTTATTAGTCGCACAACGGGAACAAATGCAGTACGAACGCAATCAAGACATCAAGATAGATGCGATACGCGCGGGGTTCGCGTGCGACATGATGAAACACCTGCTGACCGAAGTGCACATTGCGATTAATAGGACCCGAGAGTTTTGTACTGACGCCATTGAAGGCGCCAAGCTAGCGGCCCCTAAGGAAGAGGAGCCGGCCCCACCACGTCGCAAGAAAGTCAAGGTCYGATTTCCCGAACCCTTCAGTGGAAAGAAGCGTGAAGATTTTGATAACTGGGAGGCCAATGTGCACTCCTATCTGTATCTGCAGGGAGTCACACCTGAAGACCACACTTTGGTGGCCTTCCAGGCCCTTAGAGACGAAGCAACTAGCTTTGCTAGGTCGCTAGCCCGCGCTGCCAACTGCGATAACGATATGGTTACATACTCCAGACTGGAGCGATTTTCTAATGTCACGCAGGGCCTTAAGGCCTCAGACAAACTCCAAATGATCCACACTTGCCAGTGGAAGAGTGTGCATGCGCTAAAGTCCGCTATGGACGAACTGATTGCGGTCCCTGGGCATGGAGTCACTGATGCGCAACTCCTTAACCTCTTCTACCGCGCCCTGCCTGAAAATATTCAGGGACACTTCTTCGAGAAGAAGAATCAGCAGGGCATGACTTACGATACACTTAGTCGGGAGGCAGTTGCATTTGCCGCCCAAGCGTCGCCAGTTACCACGTTCGGGCACAAGGATCTGTCTAAGGGAAAAACGTGGAAGGGACGCACCATCTCAGGCCAAATCAAGGCCAAAGATAGTCTGATCTTAATGATGGAGGAAGGTGGTGCAGAGGAGGTTCCCTACTCTGACATCGAGTGGGGATTAGAGGAGGACAACAACGCAGGCCAGGGGAGAACCTACGCTGCTGTCACGGCTGGAGGGAGGCCGCAAGGAGGACAAGGTCCGGCCCAAGTGGTCGGGCCCAGGGTGGCCGAGGGCAGGGCGGCCAGGGGGTTGGCGGCTATGGCAACCGCCAAGCGGGAGGAAGGGGAGGTCTCCCGTCTAACCGTCCGAGTTCTAGTCGGTCACCTCCCAGACAAGGAAGGTGGCATCCAGGCCGGCTTGAAGGCTGACCTTGGTTAAACCTGGGTATAGATCAAAGGGTATCGCAAGAACGCATTAATAGTTCTCAATGCGTATTCTGTGGGGACCCGGGCGACATTATCAAATTTTGTCCGAAGTATAGGGACCGTGCTGCATCTAGGGCAGCAAAAGACAGTTGCCGGTAGGGGTTGCAACCGCCCCTACCTTAGGAGTATGTGGATCCGAGCGTGCCAGCGAAGTAGAGTCTCCCACTCCACATATTTCCATGGCAAAGGTTGCAGGCCAGAGTCTAGTAAGTTGTCCAGAGATCGCTTGTGTTAGGGTCTCTTTAGGCGCTTCCCTTACAGGCTTAGCCGATGAACTGAGAGACAGGAGGCAAGCCTGGGCCAAGATGAAGAAGGATAGTAAAGGACAGCTAATCCTCGCAGATGTAGAGATATTTAGAGCCCTCATAGACAGCGGGGCGACTAGGAGCTATATTAGTCGTAAAGCGCTGAGGAAGTTGAAGTTGAACCTAAAGGTCCAACGACTAGAAGAGCCTGTGGTCAGCATCCTCGCAGACAATAGTAGGATGCGTGTCGAAGAGTATGTTGAGGGGGTTCACGCCTACTTTCGCCTGGAGAAAGATGGCAAGGTAGAGAAGGTACTGCACTCCCTGACCCTCCTTGTAGAAGAGAGTCTCCCGTTTGACATAGTTTTAGGCACAGATTGGGGAGAGGCAGCAGGAGCCACACTTCACCTCAGAGAGCATGTGTACGCTCCCTAGTGCGTCAGGCGAAGTCAAGAAAGTCCGCCTGTTCCATGAGTCCGGGGTAGATAATCCCCTTGCCCATTGCTGCCTCAGCGCTCCAGCATTCGCCAGGCTTGTGCGAAAGGAGCAACTTGAAGAGCAAGTGTTCGTGGCCTATGTTAGGCCAGTGTCCGATCAGCCTAAGGAGGAAGAAAAGATCCATCCTGCTATTGCCAGTCTGCTGGAAGAATATAAGGATCTATATGAACCACCTTCAGGGGTAGTGCCCAAACCGATCCAGCACCGAATAGAAATAGAACCTGGCAGTAGAACGCCAAAGGGGGCAGTCTACAGGATGTCTCCCAAAGAGTTAGAGGAGCTACGCAGACAGTTAGACGAGCTCCTAGAAATCGTCATTCGGTGCACCTGTTCTGTTTGTCCCAAAGAAGGAGGGAGAGTTGCGCATGTGTATTGACTACAGGGGACTGAAGTCCATCACGATTAAGAATGCAGAGCCATTACCGCGTATAGATGATTTGCTAGATCGAGTTCAGGGGTGCAGATATTTCTCGAAGATAGATCTAAAATCAGGGTACCATCAGATAGAAGTTCACGCTGACGATCAGTATAAGACGACGTTCAGGGCAAGGTATGGGCATTAAGAGTTCATAGTGATGCCATTTGCACTTACTAATGCACCTGCAACATTTCAGCGTTGTATGAACGACTTGTTTAGACCTTGGCTAGATAGGTTCGTCGTAGTTTACCTAGACGATATCCTAGTGTTCAGCAAGACCCTCGAGGAACATGAGGGCCATCTACAACAGATTCTAAGTAAGCTCAGAGAGTCTAACTTTAAGATTAACCCGAAGAAGTGCGAATGGGCCAAGACATAGGTCCTTTACCTAGGCCATGTACTAGACGGCGATGGCATTTGGCCTGAGGACAGCAAGATAGCATCCATCAGAGATTGGCCAACTCCTGAGACACTAACAGAGTTGCGTTCTTTCTTAGGACTGGCTAACTACTACAGGAAGTTCGTGAGGAACTTCTCTACGATCGCTGCTCCCCTTCGTAGACTATTGAAGAAAGAAGCTATCTGGAAGTGGGATCAGGATTGTACGTGAGCCTTCAAGAAATTGAAGAAGGCTTTGATAGAGTACCCTGTTCTCAAAGTTGTCGATCCATCATTGCCATTTGTTGTTACTACAGACGCGAGTCAGTATGGCATAGGTGCCGTTCTACAACAAGATGACGGCAACGGGTATAGGCCCGTAGAGTTCATGTCAGCCAGGCTGCCTTCAGAGAAAGTCGCCGCATCGACATACGAGAGAGAACTCTACGCTCTCAGGCAGGCTCTAGAGCACTAGAAACACTACCTGCATGGGAGGCACTTCAAGGTTTATTCAGACCACGAGACTCTTAGATGGCTAAAGACACAGGCCAAGATGACGCGCAAGTTGACCAGATGGGCTGCTGAGATAGACCAATATGACTTTTTTAAAACCCGTTAAAGGCAAGTACAACGTGGTAGTTGATGCGCTAAGCAGGAGATTTGATTATTTCGGTGCGATAGTACACTATCTAGACATAGGGGCCGATCTGCAGCAGAAAGTAAGAGATGCCTATGCACAGGACCCAATCTACAATGAGCTGCTCAAAAGAGTAAGGGAAGCCCCAAATAGTGAGCCACACTACCGGACCACGAATGGGCTACTGTTTGAAAAGACTAATGTCGCTGACAGGCTATGCGTCCCCAATAGTGAAGAGATCCGTAGTCTGATCTTAGGGGAATGCCGCGATACAGAAGGGCACTTTGGACGGCAGAAGACTTTAGCTAACCTGATGATGTCCTATACGTGGCCAGGCATGAAAGCAGACTGCATAGAATATGTGCGCAGTTGCAAAGTGTGTCAGCGTAATAAAGCTACGACTAGAGCCCCCCTGGTCTTCTTAGACCCTTGCCTATTCCCTCCGGACCCGGAGATTCAATGTCCATTGACTTCATGGATATTGGAGTCAGAAGCAGACATGGAAAAACTCAAGGTATGGTCATAGTAGACAGATTTAGTAAGTATGCAGTATTTGTTCCCTTGCCTTCAGAGGCCCGTACAGAGTTAGTTATAAGGAAGTTCTTTGATTTCTGGGTAAGCGAGAATGGTATGCCATTGTCCATAGTAAGTGATAGGGACACCCGGTTTACCAGCCAGCACTGGCAAGATCTTATGAAAGTATATGGGTCTACGTTGTTGATGTCGTCAGGACGACACCCCGAGACTAACGGTCAGACAGAACAGATGAATAAGATCTTGCAACAGCTACTCAGAATGTACATTAGACCAGATCAGCTAGATTGGGACGAGTTGCTCCCCAAAGTAGCAAGCGCCTACAACAACAGCGTTCACTTAGCTACACAAGTCTATTAAACCTATGCGACCACTAGGACTAAACCGGGATCAGATCCAAAGACTTCCACCCGGTACTCGAGAGTTCGCACTCCATCATGAGCAAGAGGTTGCTAAGGTCACAGACAACCTGAGGAAGGCCCAGCACCGCATGATAGAGCAGGCTAACAAGCACCGCCAAAGGAGGAGAGGACGGCCCGTCGTATACGATAGAGATCCCAGCATACCTACACACGTACCCAGTCTTCCACGCCTCACGTCTGACAGGTTCCCTTCCAGAAGGTCGATGATTCCTCCAGACATGGATGGCGCGTATGATATAGAGGGCATTGTGGAAGAGGACGTGTTTAGGACAGGAGGCCGAGGTCGTCCCCAGAAACAGTACAAAGTTAGGTTCGCATACCAGGAACCCGAGGACGACCGGTGGTTTACAAGAACAGAGCTTTTAAGAACCGCTCCCGACATAGTACACGCCTACRAGAGGGAAAGAAAAGGTAAAGGTCCTGCCTTGAGTTAGAGGGTTCTCGGAGGACCTCGAATTTAGGACGGCGGGAGTGAAACGGTTTCACCCAGTTGACCTTGTACTGCAGTCACAGAGATTCGATCCCTAGACCTGTGCCCTAACCCTGTACATTGACCCTGTGTGCTGA